TAGTCTGTTCTTATTGTAATATTTGATAGTGTTCCAAGTAGAATGTTTACACAATGCTAGCCAAATACTCGAGATAAAAAGGGAAAATGATATTTTTAGTAACGAGTCCGAACACCAGACAATTGAGAAATAATTGAAAAAAAAACGTAATGATTTAAAAATGATTTAAAAGACTTTTAGTTCTTCTGAATTGTAATAACATGTATCGAGATCTGTATTTTTTTTTCTTATGTTCCAAGTATCCGGTCAACCCGCATCTGCTCTAGGACCCCTGCCAGTAAATTTAGCAAGCAGAGCATGCGTTATTGCGTCATTTAACTAGAAAAACATCAGGCCGAGACCGGCGTCCGCGTTTATAGTTAAAGTGCTTCTACACTAGGAAAGGGATTACTTTTGTTACTGAATTCATTAATCAAATCTGCGTTCTGCAGAAAGTGAATGGATTCGTAAAGAAATGTTTAGAAATTCAAATGCATAAGGATATGTGCAAAATGAGGAATCGTTCTCTGCGGTCATTTGCATCTGTTTCTCAGAAARAAGTCTTGTTATTATCGRCATYTGTCAAGATTAMGATCCAAAGTAAATAAAATTACAGGAAACCTTTATGTAATCATTCAGTCCCTTAGCGTTCACCGACTAACATGTCTTTTTAATTTGTCAGGAGACAGTTCTTTTACAAAGTTTGCTCCCCAACTTTAATTAAACGGAGTTTTTTTGTCCAATTTCACTATTCCGAATTCAATGAAAGGGATTATGAACATYATGAACAAAAATACATTTCARAATTTTGTACATATATTTTCTTGGTTTGAACGTCTTTACGTAGTTCAGAAGGAAAGACAAAGAAATATAAAAACAAGTGTTTTAGTTCAAATTAAACTTCTCATAGAACCCAATTAGTCTGACATAGCGGAAAAAAGTGTTCAATTTTGCATTTGAATATGCAATTCAATGCAAAGTTGAAAAATGACACCTCTTTCCGACCGGTTTTTAATCCAAATGACGGCAGTGTTTTTCGACATTCCCAAAGTAAACCTATCTGTCATTTTTGTAAACAACCTTGAAAGGGTCCATTAGTGAAATAGTTAGTACCCTTCGATGGCTTAAACATGGCATTATAGTGTATTATTTTCTCCCTGGGTATTGTTACTAGAATAAGGTATGGGGATCACTCTGGCCTGGAACAAGCCTCGCCAGAGCGGACGACCAAAGTCGTCTCTGACAACGAGTGGAGCAAGTGTCGGGGAATGAATAACATCCCTTTATATATCCTATTATCAATCCCCTGGGACAAAATTATCATATTCAAATGACTATGAATAGTTGGTAGAGGGAGAAAGCCTCTATCTAGCATGATGGTATTTGGCACATAAAACGTCTTCAAAAACAAATTTTCACGTGTTAGAAAGTCGCATTTAGTCGCATGTCTGAAATTGCATGTATTTACTCCCAAACAGCATAAAAACCGATAAGAAATTCACATCTATCAAACACTGTGTCCCACCTGTTTTATTTTGCAAAATAAGGAAGTTGACATAGATGCATTTAAAAATTGAAAGTGCAATTTAGGGAGGAGTTCACACAGAAAACCAACAAGAAAATTCGCCACTGATGGAAAACCATTCAACAATGAATTAATGATCAAAGCTCTGCCAAAAGTTCTTGAATAAACGAGAAAAAGCAGCAGAACAGGACAATACCCTCTAGCAAACTTATAAACTCAAGACATATATGAGGACAACACCAGTGCATTAACAAGCAGCCATTTTACAAGTAAACTCTTCGTTACCGTTTCTCAAACCAGGCTTGTGACTCTATCAGTTTAAACCTCATGTTCAAAGATTTCTCAAAATAAGAATTACTTCACAATGAACCACTACATTTCGAAAAATATTTATTATAAATGTACAGATATAAATACTTGGTCTAGCTTTGTAATATGTTACATTGCACAGATTAAAACAAATCAATATACGTAAAACATGTTGCTGCTTTGATCGTATCAGGTTCATAGTTAACGTTTTCTCCAAAATAGGTGAATGTCACATTGTACAGACTAGTTTGAGCTTTAGTACAGAATTTTTAGAGCATCTCAAAATATGTAACTTTAAATTTAAAATAAGCACAAAAGATTAAAAGAATAATGCAAACAATAAAAAAACCAAGTTTTATGAATTTACAGTTTTCCAAAATTGGATGGAAATGAACTGTACTGGGAAAGAATTTATGTAAAGAGATGAGAGAAGAAATTGATATTTTGACTTCTGGAGCAAAGAGAATGCACTGGAAAATTTTATCAATTCACAAAAAAACTCAAACAACATCATTAATCCTATCTATTAAATGCACAATTTGTAAAATAGTTTTAACTATTTTACAAATTGTACATTTAATAGATAGGATTAATAAGTTTTGTGATCTTCTTTTCACTGTGTTAGCCTGAAAGCCTTGGAATTGTGTGTAAAATAAGCAGAAATTTAGATAAAACTTGTGAGATTTCAAAACATTTTTATTGTATTCTTCGTATTCTATACTGACAGATCTTGTGCATTTGCACGGACTGTTACTGAATAAAATAATAATGTATATTACATGGTTTTGAGTCTAACACAGTGTACACTGTAAAAGAGATTGCTAAAATGTTTTTTTTATTAAACTTGGTCTTCTAAATATTCATTATTAACATAGGATGTAGACATAAGTGGAAGATCACAAAAGTTATACTAAATTTCCTAAATGATCATCGTTTTGTGTAAGATACAGGTGGATTAGAGATTGCAGCTGTCCCTTGTTTTCCAAAACCACCACGACCAGGATCATATCCTTCACGATATTCATCACGTACCTAAAGATTTGTGCATAAATAAGTAACATTAATTGGGGTTTTTAAGTCCTTTATAAATGAACCAGAGATTCTTCTGAATACATTGCTTGACTTTAGTCTTTCACATGACATTCAAAAGACAAAAGACCGGCGGCCATGTTGGTTGAATGAACAATAGATACTAATGAGAAGTCCTTTGTTGATGTTCAACCAAGATGGCAGCYGTGGCATATATTGCAAATAAATGATTGTAGTGGATTATCCAGGGAGTGCAYAGGCAGCCCYGTTAGTCCCCAATCAAACATATCGCCATTCAGACTTTAACCCTTTCTTAAAAGAAACTGCCTCTGTTGAGGATCATCACATCACCAAACATGAGAGATATTCTAGACATTTCATCAGGATCTTTCATTAGGATCTTCATTTTTATTCGAGAAATGTTTATTTATGACTTTCCATACGCAAGTTCAGTGACCAGGAACAAAGCATWGWATCGAGGCRTCAAGGAACACTKATCACAGATCTTTTGTTTTATGTTCACTGTACCTTGACGCCTCAGTACATTGCTTTGTTCATGKTCACCGAGTATGGAATATCATGAATCACAATTTTACTCTGGTTTACAAAACCAAATCTCCCGCTCCCCCACCTCTCAAAATCCTGGATCCAACACTGCATCTACTACATGTATTCAGAATGTGTTTGTACAACATCTAAATTTATATAGCAAAACAAATGAGATTTTCACCTGTCCTCCAGATTTTCCTCTGCCATACTGCCTTCCTTCTGTAAAACCTTGGTCAAAGTCTGTTCTAATGATGCGATTATCCAGTCGAGTTCCATTAATATACCTAATAGCATTGTGCGCATCATCACGAGTATAATATCTTGCTATAGTTAAGAAATATACCAAATAAATGCTTATCAAATTGATCAAATCCCTAAAAMATTATACAGCAGATAACTCTCATTCTCCACTTAAGAAAATGTATGTGCATGTGCTATTCTATTTAAAGGAATAATGACATGCATACTATGGCTAAATGTTTATCTACCTTTTGGTATTGGGCTCCAAATGGATTTTACAAGCTTACTTGTAAAACATGCTAAATACTGTAATGTATTGACTGAAGACTTATTAATATTGCTGAAATCTGACACCTTTTCTTTTGTTGTTGCTGTGTTTTAAGTTTTCACTAAGTAAAGCTGACATTTTTTTCTAGAAGTTTTTTATTGCAGCCATGCTTTATGAATAACAAAAAAAAGTTTAATTAAAGATATCAACGCAAAGGATACTCTATAAAGCAAAATCCACACGGCGTCTTTCTGATTTTATCCAATCCCATAATTATCCTTTTTAAATCACCAGCTCGAGAGAAGAGTTCATAAATCTGTTCCTCTGAAGTGTAAAATGATAAATTACCAACGTATAACGTGGTRCTAGTCTCTAGAAGTCTCTCTAATTGCTGTCGAGTTCCCTGAGAGAATGGAAACAATGTCAGTAATGAGCTGCATATTACAAGCTATAACAACGGAAAAACACGGTTGATTTGCCTCAAATCCCATCTGCTATAGAATTGAAGTATTATCTACTCGCGCACTAAGATTTGATGCATTTAGTAAAGACAAAAKAGTARAYTTGACCGTTTTCTTTACCTTAAAATGTTGATCTCTGTATGCACTTAGTTCCGCCATTTTGAAAATTACGCATGCACCTTTCAGACGTACGCTGTGCTAATTGTCTCACGGGCTCACTAGACCCAGTCCCGCTCTTTCCAAGGCGCTAAAAATAAAATTTGTTTTCTTTTAGGTTGTCATGTTTCTAGGAAAAATCCCCTTGGGTATTTTCCCGAAATTTCAAGTTTAAATCGACGATTTGGATAAGTTATGTTTTCACTATCAAAATGAGTCGTTCTTATACTGTAAAAGGGTCTTATGGCCGGCAAGCGAACGTTGGTAGACCAAGACAACAAAACGAAATGCGGAATGAAGCYAGTGGAACGCAAGATCTTGATCCAGAAAGTGCATCTTGTAAACCACCACRGAATGAGAGATACCAGAGGTAGTCCTCACGCTTGTAAACAAATGTAAACAGTGGTATTTGATGTTGCTTTTTCTTCACTTGTGAATTCTTCAAGTACTCGTTTGATGGTATTTTTATGAACTTTTTAGTATTATAATAAGTTACTAACAAGCGATTGTTAACTTAAGAACTTACTTTGTTTCTGGCGTTTTCAAGGAGAGAAGCTTACACGATGTTTGCTCCAAATGAGGACAAAAGAAAGAAACTATTAGAAGGTAAGATTCTTTGACAAAAGAACGAGCACTTTTGAACTAGCTCACACTCTAAATTTGTCAACATATAAGATTAAGACTTAGACAGGAGACTGTAGAAATGGAAATGTTTTCGTTTTCTTATGCTTCAATGAGTTCGCAAGAAACAATTCTATGCTTCTTCTGCTTCTGCTTATTTCATAGTGTGAACTGGCCACGTTAAATTTCATTTAAACAGCTGGGGCCAATTGTATGAAGAGTGGGTATGGGTATCCACCAGTTAGAACTTGATAGATTTTGTGTGGAATATTTCATCTTCTGAGTGAAAATCCAGGGCCACCATGCAACCAGACTCAGCATTCAGCATTTCTCCCAGGCTATGTGACGTTTGCACAACTTGGTCCCATTTTTCTATCATATTTAGTGAAGCAACGCGAGGAAGAAATTTCAAGACAAAGAAAAGAAATGAAAGGAAAGACTCCTGTTAGAATGACACCAAAAAGAGTTGGAGGTCAGGAGATGTCTTGCAATTTAGTTCGCCACCAACAACAGAAGGAAACAAACCTGTCACCAACATTAAAAGCAATTGAAATGAGGGTAACGATTACTGTTAGTATAACTTATTTTAATAATTGTTATTATCAGGAAGTATTTAGCAATACAGCATTTTCATGTGACTTAAGCCTGCATAGCCGGGTATTCCAGCCTACTAGTAGCCTCTCTGAGCCAGGAATGCCTGGCTAAAATTTGACTTCAAATGAGACAAGTCCTCTTTGGAGCTAGAATAAAGCTATAATCGAGTTACAATAAATACACAGTAAACATAGCCTCTGTAAGCAGAAATTCCAAGCAGTTTGATTCTCTTGGAATGTCTGCTTAGGGAGGCTACTATAAATGAAGATAGAGGTTAAAATGCAATAAAGAAAAGAGAAGTAGACTTAAGAAAAATAAAGAGCTCAAAGCAATGTCAAAAAAGCTCGGAATATTAAAACACACGTAGAAGGAACAAAACTGAATATTTATAATGTCATTTTCATTTTAGCTATGTCATAGATAAGAGGTTTAAATATAATTATATTGTGAGACCATTATTATGGAAATTATAATTTCTTGTTCTCTGCTTGATATAAAAAGATATGTTAAGGTGTTTTTTTTTTTCTTTAGGAAAAAAGGGAAAAGTGGAGGCAAGAAAAAAGGAAGAAAGAAGAACAGGAAATCCAAGAAAGAAAAGCTGCAGCAAGACAACAAGTATGTAAAAAAAACTCTAAAAAATTAACATGCAACACTATGAAGTATTTTTAAAAACGTTTGTTATTTATATCCAGGCAGAAAGAAATGAGAAAAAAGCTGCTTATCAATCAGAAACAGTAAGAAGGTAAAGATCCTTATAACAACAAGGTGTCATTTATTACCTGGGAACTGGTAGTAATTATAGGAGGGGGCTAGGGTCGACATGGAAAAGTGACCACTGAAAGTAATTGAACCTGTACTTTGAAATTATTGAAATGACGGTGATAAACTTTTATCCCTAATAGAGGGACTAATCAATAATCTGATATGAATATTTGGTCCTGAAAAATTTAAACTTAAAGTCAACTGCATTGTGACATACCAATTATATATTTTAAGCCATTGGGATAACAAGTATCCACAACAATCATATAGTTCTGCAGAAGCTCAAGAATCCAGCAGTTATTATTATTCAGGTATTATGCAATGATATTTTTATCAGTGTTTGTGGGCTTCCTGTGGTGCATTCCCAGTTCCCCTCTCTTTCCTTCAACACAGAAAACCCACAAGCTAACTAAGTTTGAAAACGTGCAGTGGATGCTTCTTACGCTAGCAATTTTGTTGCAGAACATTGCAGAACATAAGCAGCAGTCTTTTCGGCAATTTTATTGCACATGTAAACAGTCTGCAAATTCACAGTGATTTCCAAGTGAAAATTGTAGTGTTTTGTACTCAAATTTTGTGCATGTTCAAATCTGCAAGCTGTTGCTGTGAATTTCCAGGCTGGGTTTGCTATAAAATTGCACCAGAAATCACATTGCTTATGTCAAGTGACAAATTTGCTAGTGTATACTAGACTTTAGAAAAACTTACATCGTTTCTATGCCCCATTAATCTAGTCATTTTTATTGCCTGTTCAAAATGCTGGGGTTTATGCTTTATTCAGATTACAATGCAGCCAATAACTATAATGATGAAAATGATGACTTGGAAGAATTGTGCAGGATGTATCCAGAATATGATCCAACATCTTTGAGGGAGATTCTCTTAGCACAAGGGTCCATTGAAGGAGTGAAACAGCTGTTAGGGTATTAATCAATAGAACATTTGTGATGCTATATCCGAGGATAAGTTTTTAGGAAAAAGAAATTTGATTTTAACTGTTAAAAACGTTGCAATCAAGTTTCACTGCAATAGTCTATCTTCACAGTTCCCTGTTAAAGTTTGCAGTGTATCACTTGAGAGTGAAACCCAAAACTATCAAAAGTTATGAGGGTAACATTTTGATGCCAAAACTTACTCTGATGTTGTAAAAGGGAAACTGCACAAGTTTGTTTAGTTTTTTTTTTGTCCACGTCTCAAAGCGTGGCTTATCTCACTCAAGAGATGAGTGTTGTACCTGTACTTGTAAGATTATGAGGAGTGTTATTCATTAGATTGCTGTTTTGTAGTTCAATGCAAAGTCATGGCTACCAATCACGATGGTGCAGCAGCCATTTTAATTACACTAAAATGGGTGGGCATAGGAGTTTTATTATTATGACCCAACGAGATTTGATGTCGAATAAGATGAGAAAGAATTGAGCACGTTTTTGCAGTTATTTGATGTGCAGCTGTTTTTATTTCCTGAGTTTTATCGTATCCAGGAGAGGATTTTTAAATTTTACGATCTTGATAGATGTATTATATGAGGACAATGTACATATTAAAGTTTTGTAGAGATCTGTGTATGTTGAATCTGCTTAGCAGAGCTTGTGGTAGCCATTGGAGTTAAGCTTGGTGGAGGGGTACTATGGAGGGGAGGGGCCGAATTAGTGCCACATGGTTTGCTACTGTTTCCATGATGTCTAGGGCTCACTTTAGGTTTTCTACAACAGTTCATCACAACTTGTCTAAACTGTGGCATCCTATAAAAGTACACCATGAGATTCACGCCTGAGTTCCAGTACTGAAGCAAAATCAAGTAGAAGAACACTTTATTAGAGAACTTGATCTTGCAGCTTTTGCAGTAGTATGCAAGCACGTAGTAGACATTATACGGTCCCCATGTGAACACTGACGCTAGCGTGACCATCAAAAGCGTGACGGCTAGTTTTCGGTCACGCAACTYTAGAGTCCKGTTGTTCTTCTGCACGTGATTTTTGCGTACTTTTGCAACAATAGCRGAATAGGAGASCAAAATTAAGGCCACGGGAATAGTAATAACGAACAGATAGATTAACTCAAACGTGCTTATATCGATGTAATAGATAAGATTTGAAAAGATGTAAATCAATGTGACTAGACAAGACAGACCCCAGGGAATCCCCATGAGCACGGCGTACAATCCTTTACCAGCCATTCGATGGAACAATGGRAATACCATTGCCAGGAAGCGTTCTACCGATATTGATGTTAACACGTAGATAGACGCAATGTTTGAGAAGTAGTCCAATGTAAAAGTGAAAGTCCTGAACAYGATTTCCGCGCTGCCATACTTCCAGTAGTAAACATCAACAATTAACCTAAGTAAAATACTAAYTCCTACCAAGAAATCYGCYACRCAGAGGTGGACTAGCAAGTAATGCGGTCTTGTAYGAAGTGATTTTGATCCCAGGAAAGCAGCGATGCAGACAAAGTTGCCCACGAGAACTATTAAAGCTGTGATACCTCGCAACCATATCTTGGTTGTCTCGAAATCATTGTCGTATCGCCATTTGTTGCTTGTATTGTTAAGATAAGTCGCGTTAGTTTCGTTCATGTTAGAATAGCAAGAAAACCTTAGAAATAAAGAAAAGTGCGTTAATATCGCTACAGGAACACTTCGGTGTTAAAACAAGCTATGCGTGAAACAAATTTGTTAATTAGAATTAGTTTGAATAGGAGGTTCAAACGCTGGGCGAAGAAGGATTTTTACTGAGGGCWGCAAATCAAATCCTTTTAAGTTTCTGTTGTTTTACTGCAAGATTATTTTTTAATAAAAAGTGAATACATGCCCCGTTACACTTGCGATTCAGTGCAATAATCGCCACTTTGCTATCGCGCAACTAAAATCGTACGAGTAAACAGCCCTGCGATTGTTGCGGCGATGGAAAAATCGC